TCACAGTTCTTCCCGGTTACTCTTTACCACGAGTAATAGCTTGTATAAAGATGCAGAAAAGGAACCAGCTTTGTCAGATACTGAACATAAAAGAGAAAAAAAACAATTACAGTGTCACATAGAAACAATGGCTAAATGTGGAATTGTAAAAGAAGAAAATCATGCACTCCAGTGATTAGCCAACCAGTATGTCTTTGAACTGTGCATGGAATCCCATAAATAAATAGGGAATATAAACAACTGAACTGGGCAAATTCATTTATTTTTCATTGCCTTGAATATCAGCAAGTAGTTTAAAAATTTCTTGTTCAATTTCCTTTTAGATTTACCTTCAACTATATAGTGCAAGGACCTGCCTGACAACATACAAATTGAAAGTGTTTAGGTTTGAACTCATTTTTTGGATTTTGGAAAATCTAAAGGAAAATTGTACAAGAAAATTGTATACTGTATGGCCAGCCTTAGTCTGATCTGCAGACAATCTGAAGACAACTTAGAAACATAAGCAATAATAATAGGGAAATAAAGGATAGCTAAACCCACAAAAAAGTACAATACTTTGCAGTTTACAGTCCTTAGTTGTGGTGGCTGCGTTCGTTTTTTTCTTCCCCCCCAAGCTAAGAACATTGTTAGCAAATACAAAAAATACCTGCTGATCTTGCAAGAAATGCAGTCCTTGTCACTTTCTGTGAGCTACACCGTAGAATATCTTTCTTCCTAGCTATCGTCTGTAAACTAACAGTTTAGAAGCCACCATACCAATGACTAGTAATCTTCAATATATAAAATTTTTTGTTTTGGGTTTAGATACACTTTAATGAATTGATATTAATGAATTAATAGGATTCTGTAAAGAGTGCAAAAATATGCATGCATATGCTCAAGAGAATCAACAACTTTGCAACTCTCACATTTGTCTGGTTTCAGATCAATTCAGTCTTTAAAATAGAAGCATGTGTTTTTTTTCCCCAAAATTATACTTCCCTAGGTGGAGGCAGCATTGGTCTGATGCTGCATCTGTCCCCGCCGCCTCTATGTGTGAGAACTCAGCGATCACATGACTGCTGATTGCTGAGTTCTCACTGCCACTGTGAGCAGAGAGCGGTGACCATCAAAAGAGCTTTGCTGTACTTGTCCTTTAAACCCACTTGAAGCCACCCTTTTTTACTTATGCAGTTAGGCTGCATAACAGGAAAAAAATATATGTCTTTTTTGTTTATTATGCTTTGGTGTTCAGATAAACTAAGCTGCCATGTACCCACAGCATCCTGGGAAGCTGCTCTCACACAAAGCACAGCTATCCAGCACCCCCACCTCAGCACTTAAATCAACAACACTGCTTTAGGAATCATGAGCATTTTTAACTGGTGTACTATAGAGAAGTGTATTAGGCAGCTGGATACTCAAGACCTCTATGCTGTTTGCCATGTTGCTGGCACAGCACATATAAAAAAATGCTACATTTTTAAGTTGTATGCATCCTGCATGACAAGTAAAAAAGGTGAGGCCAGATTCCTTGTCAGTGTTGTTTCTGGATGTGACAGGTCATTAAACCATCCAGTCTCCCATCCCTTCATGCTATCATCAACTGGCATTGGACTCTGGCACTGGATAGCCAATAGATAGTGTTCATGTCACACAGATGGTGATGTGAAACCCTAAAGAGGTAGTGGCATTTAGGCAGTTTTATTATGCCAGTGATAAGTTAACAGGGGGTGGGGAAGTGGGGATCCCATAGGAAACAGCTGAATCCAAACGCTTTTAATCCTGCCAATAGAAATCTGGTATATTTGCTAAATGCTGATAAATCGTGGTGGTAAACTTAGTTGATTTTTCTGTTGCACACGTGGGAACATTTATTTCTAATGAAAAAAGTAGACAGTCTGTGTCAAAGGCCAATCACTCGCATGTAAAATGACATGCGAGCGTGCATGAACAGCAGTGGGAGCTGGCAGCTTCCCACTGGTCTCAACAGGACTGCTTCTCGCAGGCAGTTGTGGGAACTCCTGGGGTTGTCGCATGTAAATCGGACTGCACATGTGAATACACCTTTAGAGTTGTCCCCAGGACAAGAGTTAAGGGAAAATCTAATTGGGACACTTGTTCCAAAGAAAACTGTCTAAGGCTACGTTCACACTAGCTTTGTCAGCAGGCGTCAGACAGGCTTTTGGAAAGTGGTTTTAATGCTTCTCAAACGCCTATGAAAATTCTGCACATGGCAGCACACAGTGCTGTTCACACAGAATAGTTAGCGTCGTGGCAAAACTGACGCCTCGGATGGAGTCAAGAGGAGCTGAAACTTCCCATTCAAGTCTATGTTGCGCTGCGGTTGTGACGCGGTTGCGAGGCGTTTGCGGACCGTTAATACCATTTAACTTCATTATAGGAGTTTGTGGTGCGATTTTAACGATTGGCAAACGCCTATCAACCGCCTCAAAACCACGCATAGGGCGTTTTGGGAGCGTTTGAGGAGCATTAAAAATGCTTCACAAACGCCTGTCTAGCGCCTGTCAAACGCTATAGGGGCATTTGGCAAGAGTTAGAAAAAGTCAAGTGTGAACGAGCCCTTAGAGGAGAATTCCCCATAATAGGCTAGAAGGCAAAAAAAAAAAAAAAAAAAAGAAGTTAAATCCAGATCTCACCTGCTGTATCAGTTACATCATATTCAGATTTCTGCAATGGTTTGTTTTCCTGAGACTGAAAAAAAAAAAAAAAAAAAAAAAAAAAGAATAGAATGTGTATATTAACTAATGGAGTCATTTACCAAGTCATTTTCAAATACAAATTTTTCTACATTTGACTGCATTGTAAAAAGCTATTTTTATGGTCACACTTACATAAGCTTCACAGAACTCGATCTTTCCTCCTGTTACTTCCACTTTGAAATGGAGAAAAAATAAATAAGATGTCCCCATAGGCCTGAAAAAAAAAAAATGACCACAGCAGTTGTGAAAGGCAAAATGTACTTGTAGTATACAGCACTAGGTTAGATTGCATAAGAAGCAATATTCTCTTTTACCTCCATATTAAGCAGGAATAATACTGTCCATCCTCGCTCATCTCAATGGTTATCTGCCATTTCTGTTGGAAGAAAAGTGATTAATATTATACTCAAAAATACTTTTTACAGGTCCATGTTATTTTCAGCATAATACGATTACCAACATTGGCATCCAAAAAAAGATTCACGTTAAACATACCCTGATGTGGCTAACACATTTTAAAGGTAACAGCGCTGGTAACAATATATGCCTTTATTAGGCTTAGAATTAATCCCAGTGATGCTTTGGAACCACTTCGATCCAAGGCCCATGCATTGAGCCTTGACTTCGGCATAACTTAAAGGAGAAGTACAGCCAAAGCTCTTTTGGCTGTATTTCTCCTGTGGATCACAGGAGTGCAGTTAGTTTTCTGCCGGTCCAGGCTGGGGAAAGAGAAGTCGGGATCCACCCCAAAGTTTGGAGCGGCACCTGTCTCAGCCTCTCAGAATTCCCCCTCCCTTTTTTTTTTCTTTATTCTACTCTCTTTCCTCCTTTCCTGTTCTGTCCCTGTGGGCCCCAACTACCATTGCATGGTTGCGTTTGCTTCAATGAGGCCCCTGTTGCTGGCACTGGTAGGACCGTTATCTATCATTTCTGCACAATGGCTCTTGCCCTATTGAAAATATGCCCTCACAATATGCACAGTTCAAACTCCGCGATTAAGCGGGCTAAGGTTTTTCAATCCCTCAAATCCAGCTAAGTTTGTCTGCATGTGGCCAGGTTTTCCTCCTCCTTGGCCCCCATATACTTCTCCCCCCACTTTCTATTTTTCTAAACATAGGGGAGCCCTCGTTGCCTTCTGTCGCTATTTGGTTTTTCATTGCACTAAGGAAACTTCAGATCCAAACAGCAGGTGTCTACTCCTCCAGGGAACCCTTAATGGGCACAAAGTCCCTCTAGTCACATTATATGCTTTTCAACACAAGTTTTTTTCTCATCTTCTCAAAGTCATCTCTCATCATAGTTTTGGAACCCTTCTTCTCATAGGGGACACCAACATGGCCTTGGATTCTTTGGTCAAACAGATGCTATGCCCCTGGAGCAGCCCCCTCGCATGACCAAATGGTTAAAGGACAAATGCACATGCTCTTGCTCTCCACAGACTCCTGGACATCTGGCATGAACATCACCCTCGTGACCAGGATTTTACCTACTATTCTAACCCTCACATTACCTTCTGCAGGATTGACCATGTGCTGGTTCCACTTTGTTTTCTTCCTTGTGTTGAAATTTCAATCTGCACCTCTCCTTGGTTTGACCATGACCCCCATCACCCTCCTTCCCAGTGGAGTTAGTGAGTGGAGTTAATGAGTCCCTCACATCACAGGATACCTGCCTTGACATACACACCCGCATACAAACTTTTTTTTGTTTTGTTTTATACAGAAAATGTAGGTTCCATTTCCTCGGCAATCTCATTTTGGGAGGCCCACCTTTCGGGGCCACCTTATTCAAATTGCTTTAGCCCAAAAACAGAGATTTCAGAATCTCAATACTAAATTAGTTGCAGTGAACATTGCCTGGAAATCCTACCTTTCGACCGCAACCTGGAAGGTCCGTAACGCTATTGTCCCAGAATTAGATTTCCTGGCCTCCGATCAGGCTGAGAGACTCTCCGTTGGGCTAAACACAAATTTTACTCCTGCGCAAACAAGCCAAGGGCAATGCTGGCTTGGAAACTGAATTAACCTAGCTGGACTCATAAGTCCATAAGACTTTGAACCATTGGGGGCGATCACACCTAAGATCTAACAAGAATTGCGGAGTCCTTTGATGCTTTCCTGTCTTCTCTCTACAGGAAAGCATGTTCCCTTTCTTGCTGAAGCCGTTTTCCAAGACCTTCACATCCATACCTTGCCCACTGCCATCCAAGAGCCGTTGAACGCGAATATCACTGAACTGTAAGTGACCCTAGCCATCAAGTCAATCCGTCCTGCAAAAGCTCCGGGTCCCGATGGCTATTCTGGCCTATAAAACCGCACGTTTTCTCAGTTGTTGGCTCCTCACCTGACAGCCTACTTTAACGCTATGCAATGGAGTGAGCTGCCCTACCCCGACTCCATTTGGGCACATACAGTGAAGGAAATAAGTATTTGATCCCCTGCTGATTTTGAATGTTTGCCCAAGATCTCACCTCGTGGAATGTCATTGATCATTAGAACAGTGAGGAATCATCCCAGAACTACAATTGATGATCTTGTCAATGATCTCCAAGCACCAGTCACCAAGAAAACAATTGGTAACACACTACGCTGACAAGGATTGAAATCCTGCAGTGCCCGCAAGGTCCCTCTGCTCAAGAAAGCACAGTCCAGGCTCATCTAAAGTTTGCCACTGAACATCTGAATGATGCAGAGGAGGACTGGTTGAAAGTTTTGTGGTCAGATGAGATCAAAATCGAGCTCTTTGGCATCAACTCAACTCACCATGTTTGGAGGAGGAGGAATGCTGCCTATGACTCCAAGAACACCATCCCAACTGTCAAACATGGTGGTGGAAACATTCTGCTTTGGGGGTGTTTTTTCTGCTAAGAGGACAGGACAACTGCACCGCATCAAAGGAACGATGGACGGGGCAATGTACTGTCAAATCTTAGGTGAGAACTTTCTTTCCTCAGCCAGGGCATTGAAAATGGGTCATGGATGGGTGTTCCAGCATTACAATGACCCAAAACACGCGGTCAAGGAATGGCTCAAGAAGAAGCACATTAAGGTCTAGGAGTGGCCTAGTCAGTCTCCAGACCTTAATGCGATTGAAAATCTGTGGAGGGTGCTGAAAGTTCGAGTTGCCAAATGTCAACCACCAAACCTTAATGACTTGGAGAGGATCTGCCAAGAGGAGTGGGCCAACAAGGGATTTGCCACCAAGTACTAAGTCATGTTTTGTGAAGGGGATCAAAGACTTATTTCCCTCATGAACATGCAAATCAGTGCATAATTTGTTAGACATGCATTTCTTTTGATTTTTTTTTTTGCTGCTATTCTGTCTCTCCGTGTTACAATACACCTACCATTCGATTTTTAGACTGATCATTTCTTTGTGAGTGGGCAAACATTCAAAATCAGCAGGGGATCAAATACTTATTTCCTTCACTGTATCTCCATGATCTCGAAATCTGAGGGAGAAGCACAAGACCCCTGGGCTTTCCGGCCCATTTCTTTATTAAACAAGGACATGAAACTTTTGGATAAAATCTTGTGCACTCGTATCAACAAATATTTGCACTGGTTGATCCATAGGGACCAGGTTTTTATGCTGGCCTTAGTCTTTTGATCTTGTATGCTGCGGAGTCCTAAAAAAGTAAACATATTCGCAGAGGATGCTATCCTGACCCACTCCAGCCCCATCACCATGCGCCCTAATCTGCACAATTTGTTGGCACACTTTGTACTTATTTCCGGCCTCCAAATCAATCACCATAAAATGAAAGTCTTGAACGTTTCCCTCCCAGACTCTATGGTCTCTCACCTTCAGGAGTCCTTTCCATACCACTGGGCAAGCTCATCTGTGGACTATTTAGGTGTCCGCCTGACCCCCTTTTACTCTTCTCTCTTTGCTACTAACTACCATTCCCTCTTCTGTACCATCACCACCCTTATGGATTCCTGGCTGAGAGGTGGATTCGAAGTCCTGAATGTGCCCAAATATTACCTGGCTGCACAAATTTCGCAACTCTCGATGCTACATGTAACCTCAGATATTCCCTTGTGGGTGCTTCTAGAAATCCCTAATTGTGCCTCATCCCAGTCTCGAGTCTACTGTGGCTGCTCCCTGCCTCACCTCTCACCGCCCCCCCTTCCTCCTCTCAGCCCCCTTATTTCCCATAGTTTACGCCTCTGGAACTTGGCCCACGTTTCAGGCAACGTAATGTCTCCCTTCCTCTCATTTCTCCCTCTCCTGAACAACTCACTCTTCCTGCTGGGGTTGGACCAACCCCAGGCTTTTGCCCCTTAACCCCTTAGGTTCCTCTCACTGTGGAACCTAAGGAGTTAATCCTCTGCATTGTTTAAAAAGGCTGTTTGATCCTGACTTCTCTGCCCCCCCTCTTGTTCAAATGTCCACGCTGATAAGACAGACTGAACCCATAGCCCTTCTGCATATGGTCAGTTTAGTGTGTATTGCTAGAGAGGTTTTTTTCTTGGGAGAGTGCATGTGATCAGCACAGGGCCAATCAACACTCTCCAAACAGAGGTCAGGGGTTCTACATCTTCCTAGAGCAGAAAGAAAACTGCTACAAGCTTTAACCAGTGCTCTGCTGAAGTCACAAGACTGCTCTAGCTGCTGATGAGAAAAGGCATTTAGCAGTTTATATTTACTAAAATAAATTGCATTTCCATGTCCTGTGTACTGTGGGAGACCGGATATAGTGAATGCAGGGTCCTGGGTTTAGTAACACTTTAATACGGTCACCATGGAGGTGGCTTACAAGGTACTCCTTCATTGGTACTGGGTCCTGGCCTGCATAGCTCACTCAAACCTGTCATAGTGATAGATGTTTCAGGGGCTGCGGTGAATGCAGAGATGAGAGATCCATATCTGTTGTCCTGCCCCTGCCTGGTGGGATTTTGGTCAAGGGTCTAGGGCCTTCTCTCAACGCTTTTTCATGTACCTTTCCACAGAGATGCCCGGCATGCACTCCTTCAAAGCCTACTGCCAGGCCTCTTTTCCTATCAACAAAAGCTGGCCACGTACCCTTCCATAGCTGCAAAGCACAGCATTGTTAGGACCTGGAGGAAGCCCTAGATTGGGTTTGCAGAGGTGAGCATTTTGACTACCCTCATGGTTCCCAAGAAAATTTCAAATGCCTCAAAGTATGGAGCCCATGGTAGCGTTATGATTTTCCCCACTCTGTTCTCCACCAGCCTGGATATTCCAAACAAATGTGGAGCACCATCTAGCCCACAGTTACCTTCTTCTGTCTCTCTCTCCTGACTATTTGCCTTCTTTCCCCTTACTTTCTACTCCTCCCTCTATGTCTCCCCTTGCCCCCCCCACTCTTTTATTTTTTAATACTTTATTTTTCTCCTCCACCCAAGGTATGGGAAATTCCAACCCCCACTTTATCCATCCCTGGGCCACCATGCCCAGACACTCATTGTCATGTCTGGCAACTGATGCCATATGCTACTGCTCTTTTACTTTGGATATCACCAAAAAGGTGCTACTTTTGTAATCACATGCTTTTCTAATTGTCTTGAACTCCTGTGTGGGACTTATTTGTTCAGTGTGTACTCAGCTATATTAGTATTTCCAATAAAAACGATTGTACCAGAAAGCAAGTTGCTCGCTAGGGAGAGAACCTCTGGGGAACTTGATGATAGGATAGAATCTGGGATTCCTAGTAAAACACAGGCTGAGCAGTAGCATGCAATGCCAAGGCTCAGCAGTAGCATGCAAGGCTAGCAGACTATTAATAGGCATTAAAAAGGGTAGTTATCTAAGAGATAACACTATAATTCTACCACTTTACAAAACTCTGGTTCTACATCTTGAGTTTGCCATCCAGTTCTGGTCACTGGTTGTCAGGAAGGATGTGCTGGAATTGGAGAGAGTCCAGAAAAGGGCAACAAAGCTACTAAGGGGACTGGAGGACTTTAGTTATGAGGAACAACTAAAAAGATTAAACATATTCTCCCTGGAGAAGAGATGCTTAACAGGGCATATGATCACAACATACAAATCTTTAAATGGTAACTGTAGCATTAAGAAGAAACTATTTAACCTAGGGTCTCTAAAGGGGACATGCAGCCACACAATGAAGTTGAATGAGAAGAAGTTTGATCTTAACCTGTGTAAGAGGTTTTGTTAGAGTGGTAAGGATGTGGAAATTCCTTCCACTGTTGGTGGTGTCAGCAGGGAGTGCAGATAAATTCAAACTTTTAGATGCGTTTCTTAGCAAGCGCAATGTACAGGGATATTGAAAATAGTAGTGACACACACACATTAAACTGGATGTACTGGTGTCTTTATTCAATATTACCAACTATCTAACTACTAAATATCCAAGGAACACTGAGAATAGAGCTCTTTACAGAATGTATAAAATTGCCTGGGGTATTCGTGCACACCTATACATCTGACATTCCATGTGAGGTAAACAAGTAATGTATACATACTGTACCTTATATTCATCTCCATTGTGGAATTGCAGATCTAGGGGTGTGCAAAAGCACGTGAAGCAATTCTCCATCATGGAATACCAGATTTTTTTCTTTTTCAAACACATATAATTTTGTTTAGTTTTGCTTGGTACAATAATAAACAATTAGAAAAGGGAAGTACCAGATTTATAGGGGTGAACAACTGCACCAAGCTAAACTCTTGCATTCCATGAAGTACTGCATTGTTTGTGCTCTTTGAATGTTTACAGATAACCCTTTGACCAATACTTCTGATGTGGGATGAACCACTGTGCGTGTAGATTTTAGCTTGAGCTTATGCATTTTGTAAACAGGCTTTTTTTTTTACTTAAAAAGAAGAAAACAGAGACTGCAAATGTAACAGAAGCCTAAGGCAGCCCATAGATTTTATGATCTTTATTTCCACAGGTGGTAAAAAAGAAAATAGTCACTGTTGATGGGGGGATCCCTCCCACAGAGCTATTGTGTTCTGCCAGTGGAGGAGCACAGGGAGCCTTCCTGGTCAACAGAACACAAAGGTTACTGCTAGCAGCTATAGCTGCAGGCAGTAATTGTGCGTAAAAAAATCTTACAGGCTGGTTGTATCGATCGACTTGGGTAAAATCAGCTTGCCCATACATGGATAGAATCTCAACTGGTCCCTGCTGAACTGGCCACATTTCGATCCATGTATGGCCAGCTTAAAATGCCACCTTCCACCTGATGGTTCAAAAGTAGAATGGCTCAACATATGTATATATATTTTCTATAGTATGTTTATGACCATAATAGACATATGAAACCACAATACATTCCCTTTAATACAGTCAGAATACATACCTCATTAGTTCCTCCCTGAGCAGCATAAGTAAATTTGCATGAATAGCTTCCCTAGGGAAAAAAAGAAGGCTTGTCAGAATGGAAACAAGCACCTTGAAGACCACATTCCTGAGAGTCAGAACATTTTACGCAGTAGATGTAAAGGAAAAAAAATTTAACCTCCCTAGCGGTATTCCCGAGTGTAGCTCGGGGTAAAATGTCAGTACCAAAAGCGGTAACCCCGAGCTACACTCGGGCTTACCATGCGGCGCTGCATAGGGATTCCGTGCAGAGCTTACCTTGTCCTTCGCTCCCGCGATGTGTCCCCTGCAGCGCCCCCCGGCCATCTCCTCCGGCTGATGCCAGCATCCGGCTTCTGTGTTCCCGTCCCTGTGACGTCGGGACGTATGGGCGCCGCCGGCCACGGGAAATTTGAAAATTTAAAAAAATTTCATTTTTTTTTTTTCCAAACAAATTTTACATAGTAAAACATTGCTGTTTCAACATACATATTGTCCCTAATGCTTTGCCCTGTGCCCTGCCTTCATTTTGTCTGTTCTTTCTGCCTGGAAACTGAGAAACGTCCATGGCGTCCAAAAATTGTCCCTTTAGGTCAAAAGCGGTTTTAGACTGGCTAGAGAACAGTGATAGTAAATAAGAACCACTTGCAGAATTGAGTGATGATTCGTGGGGAAATTCGTCATCAGACACTGAAAACGATTTTGCGACTTTGCTCAGCAATGTGCGAACTTGGCGCTATATTTCAAATTTCAGTGTTTTCGGTTTGATTATATTATTGAATTAAATGTATTATTATTATATTATTATTTTTTATGATTATTTATTAAATTATAATTTATGATTTTGTGTTCCAAATTTTATCATACCCGGGATGTTTAATAGACTCTTGTTCGGACAGATTTCAGTGAGTTATTCCTAAAAATTACAGCCTACAATAAAAAAAAAAACATATTTTTTATATACATATTTCCATGCAAAATAATGGTACCGCTTTCAGCACCAAAAATCTGAAATAATCATACCGCCAGGGAGGTTAAGACTCTAACCAAATAAAGCTTATAGTATGGAGCTAAAGCCAAGGAAAGCAGTAAATTAAATTTAATTTGAAAGGAAGCCATTTCTTAAAGGCAAAAATTATAGTTTCATATTTAGACTATAAAGTAAAATGTAAAAGTCTTCGGCACTTTATTAAAGTGGTTCTAAAGGCTGAAGCTGCATGTAGCTCTTTCCTCAGGGGCGCAGGCAGGGGACCTGAGAAGAGGAAGATCAGGACTACTCTGTGCAAAACCACTGCACAGAGCAGTTAAGTATACCATAGTTGCTGTTTTTCACTGACCCCCACAACAGCAAGTGTAAATGAGCCCTTAAAGCCCAACCCCAGGAAAATGTAAAACTATCCCATGCATGCAGTAGGGCATTGTCTGCACTGCAAGGGTTAATTGCTCATTTTATCTAAGAGGACTGTGAAACAGTTTACTTACCTAATCTTCCACTCCCCTGGCAGATGGCACTCCCCTGCGCTCCAGCAGTGGACTCTCTCTAGGTATCAACACGTACAATGCAAGGCCATGAACCCTGAGTTGGTCAGGACCCTAGTCATGCATGGGGAATGGCAAGGAGATACTGAGGAGACCAGGTTAGCAGTGGGGAGGATCAAGTAAATCATATTTTTTTTTTTTTTATTATTCACCTAGACCTAATTAAACAAATAAAGTGGTTGTAAAGGCTCATGGTTTTTTACCTTCATGCACTCTACAAAAACATTCTAGAAAAACATTCTGTGTGCAGCAGCCCCCCCAAATACTTACCTGACAGCCTCAGCTCTCTCTGGGTATTCTCCCTCCTCATTGGCTGAGACAGCAGCGGAAGCCATTGGTTCCCACTGCTGTCAATCACTGCCAGTGAGCCAATAGGGAAAGAGGGGCGGGGCTGAGTCATGCTCTGTGTCCAAATGGACACGCAGAGCAGCGGCTTGGGAGTAAGCCTACTTGGGTTTCCCTATAGCAAGCTGCTTACTCTGAGGGAGTCTAGGCAAGGGCCAGGAGCGCCAGCAGGGGACCCAAGAAGAGGGGGATCAGGATGCATGAAGGTAAAAAAACCTTCTGTGTGCAGCAGACCCCCCCAGCAAGCCCAATACTTACCTGAGCTCCATCACGATCCAGACAACAGAGAGAGCCATTGGCTCCAGCGTCTGTCAATCACAGACAGTGATCCAATGAGGAGAGAGTGGGGGGTGGGGCCGAGCCATTGCTCTGTGTGTGAAAGGACATGCAGAGCAGTAGCACGGGAACGAGCCACTTGAGTGCCCCCATTGCAAGCTGCTTGCTCTCGGGCACTAGGCAGGAAGGAGGGCCCAGGAACACCGACAGGGGACCCATGAAGAGGAGGACTAGGGGCTGCACTATGCAAAACCACTGCACACAGCAGGTAATTATGAGATGTTTGTTGTTTAAAAAAAAAAAATGCTTTTAATATCGCTTTAACCTTAATTTATTTAGTTGCCTGCAGTAAGGCTCTAATGATAGGGAGCCCTAAGTAAGAGTCCTAAAGCTGAGCTCCGGGGAAAAGAAAAATCCTCTCATGATGCTGGACTACCCCCACACTGCAAGGGTTAAATGCTCATTTAGGTTTAGGGGAAAAGGAATAGCAGTTCCGAACTTCCACTCCCCCCAACAGCTGGTGCTCTGCTTTATGGTAGTGGATGGTTCCAAGGCTTTCTTAGGTTTAATGCAGAGCTAAGGACCTTGCACTCTCCTTGATGTCAGAGGGCATCCAACAACTGGGGCATAGTAGTACTCTTGCTTCTAGACTGCTCCCTGGATCCTTCTTCTCTCCTACACTCCAGCCATCGGATGCCCTCTGACGTCATCAAATAGAATACAAGGTCTATAGTCCTGCATTGGACCTGAGGATGCCATGAAACAGTCCACCACTGTAGACATTGTGGAGTAGAGCTGAGTGGCAGCTGTTAGGGAGCAGAGAATTGGATAGAGTAAAACTGCTTTCCTGGTCCCTTAGACCTAATGAGCATTTAACCCTTGCATTATAGGGACAGTCCCACTGTAAGGGAGGATTTTAACTTTTCCTGGAATTCAGCTTTAAAATGGCATTAAATCCAAAAGCAAACATTTATGAAATTGCAGATCACAAATTCTTAGATGTGATGGATACATTTGTTTTCTATTTTAAGCTTTCTTTCTTCAATTTTCATCTAGTGATCCAGCCAGTGAGTCTGTAGTTTTTCAAAATAACAGGCTGTCCTGCAAATGTATCAGTTACAGAGATGAGACAAACCATTTACCACTTACAGGGGTGCTTACAATGGTCAGTTTTATTTATGTAAATCTTTTAACTTAAAAGAAAAAAAAATGTTGCTGTAACGGATTATACAGTGAAGGAAATACATATTTGATTCCCTGCTGATTTTGAATGTTTGCCCACTCACAAAGAGATGATCAGTCTAAAAATCAACTGGTAGGTGTATTGTAACACAGAGACAGAATAGCAACAAAAAAATTCAAAAGATATGCATATCTAACAAATTATGCACTGATTTGCAAGCTCATGAGGGAAATACGTATTTGATCCCCTATCATTCAGCAGGATTTCTGGCTACCAGGTGTCTTTCATACAGGTAAAAAGCTGAGATTAGAAGCAGTCTCTTAAAAAGAGTGCTGCTAATCTCATTTTGTTACCTGTATAAAAAAGACACTTGTGCACAGGAGCAGTCAAACAATCAGATTCCAAACTCTCCACCATGGCAAAGACCAAAGAGCTGTTCAAGGATGTCAGGGACAAGATTGTAGACCTACACAAGGCTCGACTGGGCTACCAAACTATCACCAAGCAGTTTGGTGAGAGGTTGACAACAGTTGGTGCAATCATTCGCAAATGGAAGACACACAAAACAACTGTCAGTCTCCCTAGGTCTGCTGCACCATGCAAGATCTCACCTCGTGGACTGTCAATGATCATGAGAACAGTGAGGAATCATCCCAGAACTACACATGGGGATCTTGTCAATGATCTCTAGGCAGCTGGGACCACAGTCACCAAGACTGTAACTGTAACAATTGGTAACACACTACGCCAACAAGGATTGAGATCCTGCAGTGCCTGCAAGGTCTTTCTGCTCAAGAAAGCACATGTCCAGGCCCGTCTGAAGTTTGCCACTGAACATCTGAATGATGCAGAGGAGGACTGGTTGAGCTCCATGCAAGATTTCACCTCATGGGGTAAGGATGATCATGAGAAAAGTGAGGGATCAATCCAGTACTACATGGAAGGAGCATGTGAATGATTTCAAGGCAGCTTGGACCACAGTCACCTAACAAACCATTGGTAACACAATATGCAACCATGGATTGAAATCCTGCAGCGTCCGCAAGATCCCCCTCCTCAAGAAGGCACATGTACAGGCCTGTCTGAAGTTTGCAATGAACATCTAAACGATTCAGAGAAGGATTGGGAGAAAGTACTGTGGACAGTTGAGACCAACATTGAGCTCTTTGGCATCAACTCAACTCGCCATGTTTGGAGGAGGAGGAATGCTGCCTATGAACCCAAGAACACCATCCCAACTGTCAAACATGGTGGTGGAAACATTCTGCTTTGGGGCTGTTTTTCTGCTAAGGGGACAGGACAACTGCACTGCATTAAAGGGACGATGGATGGGGCAATGTACCATCAAATTTTGGGTGAGAACCTTCTTCCCTCAGCCAAGGCATTGAAAATGGGTCGTGGATGGGTGTTCCAGCATGACAATGACCCAAAACACACGGCCAAGACAACACAGGAGTGGCTCAAGAAGCAGCACATTAAGGTCCTGGAGTGGCCTAGCCAGTCTCCATACCTTAATCCGATTGAAAATCTGTGGAGGGAGCTGAAAGTTTCAGTTTCCAAACATCAGCCACCAAACCTTAATGACTTGGAGAGGATCTGCCAAGAGGAATGGGCCAAAATCCCTCCTGAGATGTGTGCAAACCTGGTGGCAAACTACAGGAAACGTCTGACCTCTGTGATTGCCAACAAGGGATTTGCCACCAAGTAGTAAGTCATGTTTTGTGAAGGGGGATCAAATACTTATTTTCCTCATGAACATGCAAATCAGTGCATAATTTGTTAGACATGCATTTCTTTTGTTGCTATTTTGTCTCTCAGTGTTACAATACACCTACCATTTGATTTTTTAGTCTGATCATTTCTTTGTGAGTGGACAAACATTCAAAATCAGCAGGGGATCAAATACTTATTTCCTTCACTGTATATCATTAGCAGGAGTTTGGCTTCAATTTATTAATCAAGTCCATATAAATCTGCTAGTACTTCTAACGTTCTCTCCCCTCCCCTATTGACAATGCTGCTGTCCATATGTGCCCCCTATGCTCGTTCATCCAGAGTGGTGTCTCTCCTATGCAGGGGGGTGTGCTACTGGCCAGGTCACCAGGTGAAAACAGAGGGAAAAAAGCCTAAAAAAGAAAAAAAACACAAATGCAGCCACCTCATCTAAGGATTAGTAAGCTGCAATACAGTACAGGCAGTCCCAGAGTTACAAACATCCAACTTACATCTGACTCGTACTTAAGAACAGAGACAGCATGATGTCACGCTGGTCTTGGAAACCGCTGGGCAGCCATCTTGCTGCTGTGTGTCCAAGGAGGGTGGTAGGAGAGGAGCAGTGTATACATTGAGGGAGCAGTGTATTCAGACAGGCTCTCTCACTTGTTGCCGCTAAATGTCATTGCTGGTTTTTAAATGCAATTTCCGGCTTTTTTTCTTCTCTGAGGAGGAGCTGTCATTCGCCCCGCTGCTAAAGTAAAAAAAGCGAAAGTGAAGAAAAAAAACCCGCAAATGACATTTAGTGGCGGCAAGTGAGGGAGCTTGTCTGTATCCACTGCTTACCTTATCTCCTGCCTTTCTCCGCTGCCCCCCTATCTGCAATACACACAGCCCCCCCAAACCCTCCAAACAGTGCATCCACCCCTTGGGATGGAATTATCGGCACCTATATCGGCAAAATGTCATTAGGGCTATTTGCGAAACGATATATTTTGCGTTTCCATACAATATTTTGCTGAGAAATCACTCCCCCCTATAGCATTCCTGGCTGTGGTCATCTTGAGTAAGAGCAGATGATTCATGTAGCATTTAATTCCTGGAATCCCTCTGCCCTTAGCTGAGGCATGCTTACAAGAGGATGTGCTTAGATAGGTAACCCCCTCTCCACTCCAGGAATGTATTACATCATTTGTCTAGGTCTGGAAACAAGGAAATAACTGAAGAAATGTTAAAAAAAACTGGTTTAAAACAAGTAAATATGACATACTTTCCTATCTAATAGTGAGTGTTGGCAGACAGTGTGGAAGGTTCACTTTAATAATTACAGACAGTGAAAATGATGTTCCTTCGGCCTTTGAACCACATACCTACGACGCTCAGTAGGTTGTCTGGTGGACATCTTAGGTGATGTAGTTCAAAATGACAGCACAGATTTCCATTAGCGTTTTAACAATTAGAAGATATCTGACCAGTGTCCGGGTATATGTGTACTCCACACCGCCTGGCTTAACGTCAAACTCTTCTGTACTCGCCGTGTCCTCTGCCCCAGCCCCGGCAACCAGCAGCAGACCCAGCACACTCCCTACAATCACGAACGCCGCCATGTCTAGGAAGGGCAGTATTAACACTCGCCACTAGAGGGAGCCAAAAGCCTTATCTTAATATACACCTAGTCTGTTCTCGTTATCAGGAGACATAAAAAATACAAATTAATTTCGGAGAGTAGTCAAGAAAGAAAACATTTTTTTAATGGAATGAGTTTGCAAATATTTGACTCATAGTTTGTGTACCGTGGAGCTTCGAGGAACAAGCTTCATCGCCGCCATTTTGTAGGAGACCTTACTCTGCCGGTTGGCACACTCTAGTAAACGTGGAAGCACTTGATTCGATGTGTTGAAGCTGTGCTGACACTTTGCTATTGGTCAATTTTTTTTCCTTTCATAGTTGTGTGTCCGGAAAGAACCCATACGCATGGCTTCTTTCATGCAATTGCTGAGTGGATGGCAGTTTTTAGTTCTGCTCTGTGGACTTTGTTTTTCAGTCTGCTCTGACAAGGTATTTTGTAATAGTTTTTATAAGGGCTTTCTAATAGCAGGTGTGTTGGGGATGTGCAGCTCTTTCCATCACAACCCAAAGGCATAGTTTTCTATGGTGGCAGTCGTGTTGTATACACAGTTTTTTTCCTGACATGCAGTGTGTTGCAGCATGTACCACCACATTGCAATGCCCTGTGCTGAATAAAACTGTATTGAAATTCCACATGTGGTGAAAAAAGTATACAGTGCTATGCTCAAGGAGCTGTGTCTAATGTTGCCACCTCATCCCTTTAAAACCGAACACATTAATTACACAGATTCTATGACTAATTAAGGTGTAATTAACCACTTCCATACAGGGCACTTATACCCCCTTCCCGCCCAGGCCAATTTTCAGCTTTCAGCGATGTTGCAGTTTGAATAACAATTGCGCGGTCATGCAACATTGTACCCATATGAAATTGTATCATTTTTTTTCACACAAATAGAGCTTTTGTTTGGTGGTATTTAATCACCACTGAGTTTTTTTATTTTTTGCTAAATAAAACAAAAAAACTTTTGAAACAAAACACACTTTTCTTCGTTTTGGTTATAAAATTTTGCAAATAAATAACATTTCTTAAATTTAGGTCAAAATGTATTCTGCTACATTTCTTTGGTGAAAATAATAATAATTGAATTTGTATTTTTTTCAAATGTTTCTATTTTTCTTATTTTTATTACATTTTCTTTTCTTTTTTTTACTATTTTATGTTTTCAGCACACTGTGACTAATGCAATACAATGTTACCATAGTAACCCTGAACTACTCTGGGCAAGTGATCAGTATTTTTTTTTCTTTTTTACACATGATTGCAAATACCAATGTATTTCATTGATATTTGCAATCATTGTTTGTGAATTAAACTGATTCATTCAGTCTTTTATTGTGATTAGCTGTGATTGGGCAAAGCTGATCACATGATGGGCTGTGATTGACCCTGTCTGTATCATGTGACTGCCTTGAGCAGTCACAGCTTACAACATAATTGTATACAATGGATGGCACGACAGGAAGACATCCATTGTATACAATCGACATTTGATCTGCTGTGATTGGTCACAGCGGTCACATGACAATGGCAACAGGCCGGTGTAGTGATATGTCATTGGCTGTGTCCTGTGGACACAGCCGGTGACAGATTGTGCTGCTGCGTGGCCCCATGAGCGGCTAGTTTTGACAGGATGTCATATGACGCCCCGATACAATGGTGAGTGTCCCACCCTGCCATCAATCTGCTATAGGCCTGAGGGAAGGTGTTAAACTTAGTTCCTTATCTGCATTAAATTAGCCTCAGAACCTGTGTGATTAATATGTGTTTGGTTTTAAAGGGATGAGGTGGCAACCCTATCGCTCACCAATGGCTGCATTGCTCTCTGGTGTTACTGCACCCTATAACAATGTGATATTCAAGGCAACTTCCTTGTTCAATCAAACAAAATACACTGCTCCAGGACAATTCCGTGTTCCATTACCATACACACACTAAATTCCAGGTGCTGGCTCTGTCCACAGCAGACTCCAATATTCCAAAAAACATCCGCTGGCAGCACAGCCAGTAAAATCACCTTTTTTTTCTTCTAATAGCATATTCCACAAATATGACAGGGATACAGGTCTGCAGCTAATGCGTTTTCACACTCCACTAGTACTTATTCATGAGCTATGTCTAAGCACTAGTGGAGTGTGAAACGTGTTAGCTGGAGACCTGTATCCCTGTCATATTTGTGAAATATGCTATTAGAAGAAATAAAGGTGATTTTACTGGATGTGCGGCCAGCGGATGTTTGTTTGTATATTCCTTGTTCAATCATTTTTGTTCTCCTAAATATAATTTATTGTGGTAAAAATCAGTACAAGTGCAGATGGCACAATCAAAACAGCAATGAACAACAAAATGCTATAAGCAGTACAGTGTTTTGAGTCAACAGCAACATCAGTGCATATAGGAACAAATGACAAAAAAGCTGGAGATATGCAATTACCAGCAGGTAAACCATATAGCAAACCCAAGGGGCAGTACGTGTATAGTTCCAGGATCCCAATTCGGAAAAGCAAGGGAAAGGAATGAGAGAGGGACAAAAGGGGTGTTAAAATAAGGTAATGAGGAGAACTTGGGGGGTCTAGGGGAGATGGGATGCCCAAGTAACTGCAAACTTGAGGACAAACTTCTTAGCAACCTCTATGTTGTACAAAATAATGTGAATCCAAAGAAAAATATAGCACTGTCTCTTTTAAGGAGCACTGAAGTTCCCTTGGTGTATCTCCTCAGACTCTAGATGAATCCTTCTCTTCACCCAGCTGCACTAAGGGTATCCCTTGGCAATTCCAAGAGCTAACATTTAAAGCGGAGTTCCACCCAAAAGGAGAAGTTCTGCTTTAAAGATTGGTACTCCGCTCCACTTTAAGGATTGTCACCTTTGGGGAGCGGAGGGGGGAACAGGTACCCGAATTTGATGGGTACGTGTACCTCTTCAAATAGTATAGTAATACATGTGGATATTTGAAGAGGTACACATGCATATTTTGTACTGTGGTTGTGCATTTCACATTTAAAGTGACACGTGGATATCTGAACAAGTACATGTGGATATTTTTTGTTTCCAAACATTGGGCACAATTCACTAAAGCTTATCACATGAGTTAAGACAGTCACATGACCACATATCGCATGCGATACTGAAAATGTCAATTCACTATTGCTAGTATGCGGTGTTTAACGAAAATAGCAAAAACGCTCAGTAAATACCATATAAGAAGAACTTAAAGTTAACTCACAAAATGAAATAAATAATTAAATGCCTGCGGTAATTAAAGCGGAGTTCCACTCACTCTGTAAAAATAAAAGTCAGCAGCTACAAAAACTGTAGCTGCTGACTTTTAAAAGAACAGCCACTCACCTGTCCCACGATCACGCGTTGCCCCCCCGCTGCAGCCCGTTTCACCGGCTGTCCTGTATTGCAGGAGGCCGGCATCTTCAGTGTGGGCACCCGGCTGTGACAGCTTGTGGCTTCACAGGCGGGTGCCCATTGCACATGCGCGAGTAGCGCTGTGCTTTCTGAATGGCTCCGTCGTCTTCTGGGACCTGTCACGTGTCCCACAAGACTTCGGGGAGGGAGGGTAGGAGGACAACTTCCGTTTCCGATCATCTAGGCAATCGCAGCGGAAGTGGGTGGGGGTACCTGTCAAATTCGGGTACCCGTTCCCCCCTCTGCTCCCCAAAGGTGCCAATCCTTAATGGGGAGCGGGGGACCAATCTTTAAAGCAGAACTTCCCCTTTTGGGTGGAACTCTGCTTTAAGTAGTGGTCCAGACATGCAGCATGTACTGTATCTGTCAGTACTCTCAAGGGTTGTTAAGGAATGGGAGGACGCCGAGTCCCTAACAACCTATGAGTCATCAGCTGTCAGTGGTTCCCCACTGACAGTTGAATGTAAAAGAAAACCAAAAAAAAAAATCAAAGCGGGTTCCCCCCCTTCATCCATCCCCTTCATCGGGTCTGGTTTGGATTTTGAGGGGAACCTCCACAACAAAATGTAAAAAAAAATGGCGTGGGGGTTGTCACAATCATGCCCACAGGGAGAGGTGCGGTTCTCTATTTTGCTCCAAATTTCTGCATTGTGGTATTTCTCTTAAACTAATATGCAGTCACCTGAGAGGGAGAGGATGGTGGCACAGGAGGAGATAGCTGTGGGGGATGGAGTGGTAGGAAGAGTGGAGGAGGTCGGAAAGTTAGCAGGGGGCGGGGTAGGCTTCCCTGAAGAGATGGGTTTTCAGGGTGCGCCTAAAGGAGAGGAGAGGAGAGTAGGTGATAATCTGATGGGTTGGGGCAGGGAGTTCCAGAGGATGGGTGACACCCTGGAGAAGTCCTGGAGGCGGGCATGGGAGGAGGAGACCAGGGAACTAGAGAGAAGAAGGTCTTGTGAGGAGCGGAGTGTGCGTGCTGGGCGGTACTTGGATATTAGGTCAGTGATGTAGTTCGGGGCAGTATGGTGGACAGCTTTGTACATCAGCGTTAGGATTTTGAATTTGATCCGTTGCGCAATCGGAAGCCAGTGGAGGGATTGGCAGGAGGGGGGTGGCGGAAACGAAGCGGTTGGAAAGGTGAATGAGTCTGGCAGACGTATTCAGGATGGACTGAAGCGGGGATAGCCAGCGGCAAGGCAGGCCAGTGAGGAGAGAGTTGCAGTAGTCGAGTCGCGATATGATGAGGGAGTGGATGAGCTGTTTAGTGGTTTCTGGAGTTAGGAACGTGCGGATTTTGGCGATGTTGCGGAGGTGGAGTCTGCACGAGTTTGTTAAAGAGTGGACTTGGGGCTGGAAGGATAGGTTGGAGTCCAAAATGACACCAAGTACTCTGGCCTGCGGGGCGGGTTTGATGGTGGCGTTGTTGGACATGATGGAGCAGTCAATGGGGGGTGGTGTCCGGGCTGGAGGGAAGACAAGAAACTCTGTTTTGGTGAGATTCAGTTTAAGGAAGTGGAGCGACATCCAGTCTGATATGTCGCTCAACAGGTGTGTGATTCGGGCTG